TCGACGTATCTAGCGGTATAAATTATATCCGAGTCGCGTCACTGCCAGCCCCTTATATATTATATGATCGATCATTAGAGAGACTGGCCTGCCAGAAAATTTGCCAGAAATCGCTTGATTCGTTTCTTTCGGCCAGACGGACAAGTCCGCGGACCCTTTGAGCCGAGCCTCGGTTGAACAACTAGCAAGAATAATGACGTTTCATCGTTTGACGAATGATCCTTCTCTCGTGACTTCTGAAAATTAACGACGCGATCGAGGTTCCATCGATTAACGGTGCCAGATCGTTTCTAGACGCAAGTTCCTCGATGCATCCCAATTAATGAATCTCTAGCGATAGGTACGGGACAATTAAGTTGACGCGGCGCCGGGGTGCCGTGTAGCTACGAGCTGCCAGCGGCGTCGTGATTAATGCAAGCCAATAGCGGAAGGCACACAACGAAACGCCTGCAGGCAGCAGTGTATTCCTGTGTATATTGAACTTAGGCTACCACCCTGAACCGGACCAGATTAGTTCGGTCATTGTGGCGGGGACCTGCGCGCTCGTATGCACACAATCTGTCAACCGTGGCCGCACTAAATTCTGCCAATCTCGTCGACTAAGTGGAGCTACGTGCGAAACCGAGCAATGGATATTCCGGATTCGCTTGAATTTTCCAACGGTTTCCCCGTTAATCCATCGGACCCATCCTGGATCGAAGGAAATACCACGATCGATCCGTTAATTTTCCAAACGAGCCAAACGATACGATCAACTTTTCCTGTAATTCCATCGACCAAGCTGGAAATCATTGAACTGATCAAACATTCGGGCGTGCATATCAAAGCGTTGCTATGAAATAGCGGTTTCAGTTTTTCTTTTTTCTCTCGTGCCACAAAACAATGACTGCCGCTGATTGCTTGTCGATTCATGGACCGGATTGGGTTTACATTTTGAATGCGCCCAACGACCGCTTATCAACGATGAATATTACGAATAAACGACGAACCGCGATCATGTTTAATGATAGCTTCATTAACGAGCGATTGCAATGAAAATTTACGTTGCATTGAATAACGTTTATGGTCAATTTCATTTTATTTCAATTTCATTGTACTTTGAAAAATAAAGATTCGGTCGAAGTGTAATCGCACGAAATGTCTCCGGCTGCCCCCTTAGAGGCCCGTTAACGGCAACAGTTTCGCGGATCCGAGACAATTGGCGGCACATCAAAGGCGCCGATTGTTTCCCGTAAATTATAACCGGGAGGGCACTTGCTCGACTTCTCGTTATGAGTTGGCGAACAAGTTCAATTAAGTTCACGCCGGCGAAGACGAGGAACGGCTTCCTACACACGCGGAGACCCTATCCAACGTCTGTAGCGCCATCAACCCCATGGAACTACCTAAACGGTACGGAAACAGAAACGGTGAACTAGGGAAAGGGAGAAGCGGAACACGGTGACAATGAGAAACCAGGAAGGCTACAAGTTTCTTATCAACTTGCAAACTTTCAACCACCTACCTAATCTACGAGCCCTTTGGTCTTTAGAATTTTACAAAAAATTGATAGCGACGTTAATTTAATGAAATTCTATATAAATGATATCTATCAAGATTTAAGATAGAATTCAGGGACTGACAAATTGTTCGTATTTTCGGCTGTGAAGAACGATTGAAAACGCTTAAATCTCAAACACCGTGCGATGTCACGAAGTTGACGAATCAGGGAAGTTGCTAGGTGGATTTTCCAGGAGGGGGAGGACGTGCTGTGTCGGCTAAAAGCATTTTTGCGTCGGCCATCACGAGACTATCATACGCTATCGATCCGTTTTATTCATAACTTTTGTCCCTCGTTACCAACACCGAACAAGCATCTCTCTTCTCGCCGTTATAGCTTCGTGTTACGCGTGAACAATGACCCTCATTTATTTTTACGTTCTCGTTCGAAAAAGAATCCTAAATTTCATTTGCAATTTCACGTAATTAAAATTACTTTGAAACGTTACTTCGCCAACGATATCGTGCACAAAGGTATCTTTGTGGGGACCTTTGAAAGGATCCCAAGAATCCAGGTAGTCTGAACTGGCGATATCTTAATTTGTGAATGGACACGTTCCACGTGACGTGTCGGCCGATTGAAACGTCGAATTCAACAGGAAAGATCACGATCGTAGACCACCATTTCCTCGTCCCAGTCGTTGATCCGTGGAAACGTGGAAAACGACGCGGAACCTGGCCGATTATGAGGGTCCATTCATGAGGATCCACGAGGATCTTGTGCCGCGTTGTCTGGCCGTCTCCTTTCTCGTGGGGTATTTTCGGTAAAGCCCGAACGACGTGGAAAGATCTTTCGTCGGCTCGTTTTTGTTGGAGGTGTGATGTTACAAAAGGAAAAGAGGAGATCGCGGGTTTTGTGCGACACGGTTGTCCTGCAGGCCCCATACCGAGAAAACGAGGATTCCCTCGACCGCGTGTCCTGCAGATCAACCCAGAGGATGCGTCTTGTTCCATCTCTCCCTTGTCCCTCGTCCCTTTTTCCTTGCCGTCCTTCTTTCTAACCGCGCGAACGAACAAATTAACCCTACTGACCCACTCTGCGAATTTTTTTTATTATTGAGAACACAGGGGAGAGCGGTGTTTAAAATTTAATGAATTTCTGATCAGTTCAATGAACGACTTTATAATTTTCTCGTTTCACGTTCGCCTCTCAATTATTATCGTTGGCCTGTAGCCAGCAGCCCATGAACGTCGGCCGATTTTCCAGCAGCGATGAAAGTCGCCCGGGGTTAAAAGATCCGTGTGAAAACTTGGGGGATATAATTAAAATGGTCGCGCATTTCTGCCAATTTTAGCAATTTCGCGCCGGCTACGCCGCTAAACAGGCTCGAGGAATCATGCAATTATAATTTATTCGCGCGTCGACCGTCGACCGACGTCGGTTTCCTCGCTTTCTCAATTCCTCTATGTCTGCTTTTGCCCCGCACACGCGCTCAAGTTTCCCTTTGAACCATTTTCTCTAGTGTCCGTCGTTATTGTGCGAAGATAATGCGCCATACGTAATTAATTATTTCCCAACCGATAACGACACGGGCGAAACGAACTTTGTGGACGAAAAAAGAAATTCGAAATACGTTTAAGTTTCCCTGAAACGCATGCGTGTCTGTTTTTATTTTAAAAAATGGTGAGGGGTTAATGCGCGTTCCCTTTGCGAACGAGAGAACTCTTGGAACCATAACTCCACCACGTTTGTCGCTGCCTTTTGCCATACGATTATGGGTGTGAACGAGATCCACTGTTAGACAAATCTGTCCTACGAATTGTTAGCACATGTCCACGCTCGCCGACAAAGCGGATAGAAATTCATGCTGGTACGTTTACCGTCAGCCACCAGGCTGTTGCCGAAAAGGTTCACTCTCGTGCGAACCGTGTTAAAGATAATTAATCATTTACAGATGAAATTTAATTCTAAAATGAAAATCGTAGAAAGACTAGCAACGTAGTACGAGTTTTAACAGGTTTCCATTCACCTTTGCGAAAAATGCTGTTTGCCGCACGAACGAACACCGAGTTGGCGCATCATTGTGAAAGGTGTCACTCGCGCGAGATCCCAATCTGTCGCGTTGCACGACGAGAAGTCCCATTGTGATGGTCGTTCGTGCCCATCTTCCGGAAACGCTCCTTAGCAGGCCCAGTAGCTAAACTGGCCATTATGATCAGCCACCATCTCGCTTCTCTTTTCATCGTTTTCCTTCTCTTTAAACTGTCCCACTTCTTATTTCGGCATTATGGGGTATTAGTTCAGTTCCCGGCTACCTGAACCCATGCGTCGATCGATGATACCTACTTCAAGGAACGGGCGTTTCGTGAGAAATCATTGAACTTGCCGAAATCGTAACTCAAATTTATTACTTGATCTTACAATAATTTTGTATGGTAAATAGAAAATTTATGTTAGTTTTTCACGATCCAGTAAAAAGTTCAAAGGTGTATCTGCAATTTCAGTTGTTTAGAAAATCTGAGACGGGAAGTGTGAAAGCGTGAATGAATTCCTGCAAGGCTGATCCGATATTTTCAAAGTTTACTCGACCCGTGGATTATCCGAGGTACACGGATGAGCGGAGATGTCCGTTGAGAACAGTTCACCGTCGAAGCTCGGTAACCGTGATTACTTACCTGCAAGGTAGACGCTTATCCACCTGCGAGACTCATTGATTTTTATGGGTGCACCTAGTTGAACTCGCTACCGGCAGGTGGTAGGGTAAAACCTACCCCAGCGGGCGATTGCCTGTGGCGAAACACACTTATTTAGATATTCCTGATAAGCAAATGTTGAAACATCTTTTACATTTTCAAAGTTGGAACTTTCTATGACCATACAAAGAATATCACAAGATAGCCCCTTGTACTCAATTAATCTTCGATCAATCAACCCCTTGCAGGTTTAAATCTTTTTAATCTTCAAGTTCTTTTATTTCTACGCTTCGTACGCGACACCATAGCGTCCCATAAGAGGCAGAGACAACGAGGTCCTCGATGGAAGTGGCAAATGTGTTTACAGCAGCCGAGACGAGGGTGTAGATTCGGGGTAGAATTAGTCGGGAGAGGAATCGAAAAACGGGGGTTGTCCAAGGGCGTTTCAGGGTGAGACGCTTGGCCGACCAAGCGTCTCGGAGCGTTGCGTGGTCGCGCAAGACAATTGAAAGAAAAAATCACTTGTCTCGCCCTAAAAGTAGGGAGAGTAGACCCTAGCTTGGTTGGATGCTGGAGAAAGAGAAAGATAGAGGAAGGGTGATGAGAGGGCGATATCCGTGGGTGGTAGCCCGTTGAACGCAATGTTCCGGATCCGACACATTGCGGTTCGCCTCCGGAAATTCGCATTCGTTCGATCTATTTTCCGCACGTGCATCCCCGATGGAAATTTATTGTTCTCTAATGACTGACGGTGCTTAAACATCTTTGTCGCGTCAGGTGCATTTTTTCATCGCTTTTCACAGAAAGTTTCACATTTTTTTTTTCAGGTTCGTACCGCTGGAAGCGGTGTCAGGGGGTGGTTGGACGCATCCCACGAAACGAACAACTGGCTGAAATACATTCGCAGCGCCAACAGTCCGCACGCGGTTAATATGCGGCACGTGCTGATCGGCGGACAGGTAAATCAACGATTATTCGATCTTTTCGAAGGTTAAAATTTTCTGATTATCGGCGAAGTTGTAACGATCGCAACTTCCGGTCACGTTCAACTAGAGTTTCCCTTTCCACGGTACCGCGCGTGCTTCGGTAATTGTTTTACAAGTTGGTATCAACTCGTCGTCGGTACCATTGACCATTTACAAATTCGGTTTCGAACGCAACTGACACTCGATCGACAGTTGCAGTTAATAGGAAGGAATAATTACACGGTGTCAGCCGCACTCGTGGTTAATTTCACGTGTCCTGTACCCTGGCGAAACTAATGTGAAAAAAAAAAAAAAAGAAAATTCACCGCCACCGTTTCCGTGACTCGCTAATGAGACGGCGATGGAACGGAAACCACGATCAACTTCGTTGGACGGTTTGAATTTGTAGCTGCCCAACTTGATATAATTGAATCGAGACACGTTCGTTTCTATAAATTGAATTAGCTGAATTTGGACTTTTGACTTCGCTTACTTTCTCGCTAATATAGATCAAACGAAAGCAATAGAGGTGACGGTGTCAATTTTGGGGTTGACTCCGGCCTCGTGTCCTTTCAATTTTTCTATCTATGTGTGAACCGTGGCACATGGTATGCATTTCGCGGTACGCTAGCCGTGCCCTAAGCTACGTGTATACAGGGTGTTTAGTTATTAAGTCACCCCACAGAGTCGTTTCGTCGACTTCCTATACGCCCTGTTGGCAATCGCTGTGGGAATGGGGGATGTGGCTCGCTCTATCAGCGCCCTACAGAATCGTCCTTGTAATGACTTTTGCGGGGGGCCTCCCGACGACACCATAAAGATCCTTTCATTGCTTTCGAACTTTATGGACTCTGTGGAATACGCGTCGCGTGGTAACGAGCTTTTAATGGACAGGGGCGTTTGAAATGATTACACTTCCAATCTTACGATTACGACAATTATTTTCTAATTCGATCACGATTATGCAGATTTGTAGTTCGGTGCCCTATGATTCGTAACAGTGTTCGATATTACCTATCTAACCATCTTGGTATTCGTTTCGAGCGCTACTCGAGATAATTCGCGATGAAAGGTAACGAGAGAGGGTCGGAAGATTCAAGGATATCATTGTCCGCAGATGGTGTACGAGGCCGTACGGGACATAGCGGCGGGTGAAGAGCTTCTTCTCGGTGTTCGAGAACCTCTTCAGCTGCAGGACATGCTTGGTGAAAATACGACCGAGGACAGAAGCGATAGAGAGACCGGTGAGTATCGCATACTACGATCTTGTCACAGGAGGGTCACTCTTTTCCTTCTTCCAACGCGCTTTTATTAACTATTAGGGATTATAGTGTTACCGATCCGATGGAATAAGGACTTAGGAATTTTTCCATTCGTGAACTACGCTTTCCTATAAGTACCAAGAATCTGTCCGGCAGGTCGGCGACGCACGGGACAAGCTTTTCCTTCGGTTATTAACCCGAGTGGAGAACAAACTTATAAATAATTCACGTGGATATCATTAAAAAATAGTCGATTACGATTTGGCTGCAAGCGAATGTTGGCCAACTGACGCGACAGCGGAAATTGGGGTGGAGGTGAAAGATAATCGAACCTATTAAAATATTCCAAAGCATGCTGGCAGGTCGGGTTTACGACTTTTCGAGCGGGTAACTGGCGCGAGATCGCGCGTACAAGCGGAAGGTATGTTGGTAGGGGGTGCAGGTGTCTTCGAAAAGCGAAGTCAGCCGGTGATGCGAGGGAGGACAGAGGGTAAATCGTGAATCGTTGACTGCACGAGCTGCTCGTCATGCACCCTTGATTCTGGCGTGATTCACCTGGTCGGCCGTTGCGTATTAACCCCCCTGTCCTGTAGTAATAAGCACTGATTATCTCGCGATAGACACACTCGTACCGCGTGTTAGCCTGCCTCGTGCCACTTTAAATTCCATTTTCAAGCGTTCGAGAACGCAGCTGTAATTTCACGTGCATAGATTTTTGCATTGTCATTCGTGTAAGAAATCTTTTGCTGACTGATATAGTTTTCGAAACAAGTCAGATGCTAATGCCCGAAACACCCTACGTATCCGAGGCAATTTCGAAGAGGGTGCCTGACTGCCCGACAATTATCTAGTTGTAACTGTTGCGCGATGCTCCGAATCCGGATGACTGTTGGCCGAAGATTAAAGGGGCTTATAAGCGACATCCAGATGTCGCGGTAATTAAAAGCAAGATTATCGTCCAAGTTCGAGAAGCCCGAGGTGTCTACGCGTTCATTCGGCGCACAATTTTTTTTCCTCGTAATTTCGGCAGCTCGTAAACGTCTTCTCGAGGACGGAAGGAAAGACAGTCACAGCCTCGGCGAACCCGCTACAGCTTTGTTCTTAATTAAATCGCGGCCGCCCCTTGCAGAACGATTAAAATTTCCAAGATTTCGTTCCACTTATAAATTATCTTCACCAAGGGGAGTCGAATTTCTCGTACCCGCTTTGAACTTACACCCTGTCCCGGAAGTGAACTCCAACGGTTCCGGCAAATGTTTATTCATAATTACGGAAGTTCAGCCGGATGAATGAAGTTCGTAGAATGATTTCAAACGTTTTAAATTAATTATATTAAACGTTAAGATTCTTTGTTCGCAATGTCAGATTTCTTTCTCCTGTTTCCCTTTCGGCGAACCGTAATAAGGGAGGGTTGAAAAAAGTGTCAGCTATAAAGCAGAGTAAAATGGTACAAGAGCATTGTCGTTAATCCAGCAGAGCCATTTTTACGAGAAATCTCTGGCAAGCTGGTGCGTGCAGCGTAAAATAATGATGTCAAACAAACGGTGTACACCCCGTGGCAACCCTTGCGAGGGATATCTCTGCTCTGTGTCTCCCTTGAGCGGATCATTTTTTTTTTTCCAGAAGGGACGATAGGGAATCGCTTTAACATGCCTACATGGGGGCGCGGGTATACATGGAATCGCATTAGAATGGCGGCAGAATTTCTTTCATACGTTTAAAAATACGTCTTTATTTTATTTGCATTCGATACTGCGTGGTTCCGTTCGATTTATCGGGTCCCAGACGACCAACAAGTTTTATTCATGCATGTATCGCCATCAAAATGAAACAGAAACAAAACTGTCGGCAACGAGAACGTTAATAGTTGGTTCAATGACAAGCGATACGGCGTTTTATGGTGCCAGGACAAGCGCATTTTTTTTCCAACGATTCGGTAAACCGCGCGTGCATCGACGAAGGGCGTGTAGATGCAACTGGCAACGGCAGTTAACGTGAGTTATGGTTTTGATTTTTCGCGGCGCCTGTTTTCTCCCCTCTTCACTTTCCCCTTCCTTGGGATTCATCCTTCCTCGTCTCTCAGCATCTCTGTCCGCGTTTTCGGATGACTCTATTTAGGGTCGCGGATAATTTATGACCGGGTATTGTCGATTAACACGCGCGTAAACCAGGTCTCCGGGGCGGTCTAGGAAGAAAAAAAGAAGGGCACCGTTTGAAAAAAAAAAAGGGGTATCCGCGCATAAAAGGGCACGCGACGCTGTTTTCCGAGGGGGTGGCACGCGCGGGGTGGGCGAAAACGCGTGACACCCAGCAACCCTATCTGATTCATCCGACTAATGACACGTCCTGTTTGACGTTTCACTCGGTCATATTGTGAAATACTTTTCCCAAACGTGGGATAAATATCCGCAATTGCTCGTCACTTACAATTTGTTACTTTATAAGGTTTCATAAGGCGTAGAATTGCCAGTTTTTAACGAGGGGGGTGTCCATCGTCTCGCTCGAATTCTTAGGGACACTTACTGGATCCTAGCTCGTCAGGATGTTAAAGGGACATTGATTTCCGTTACTTTTTCCCATGCAACCGCCAACTGACGCGATTGCAGGGGGTGTTGCCAGTGGATCCCACCTGTTGACTTTCCTCCACGTAACATTCCGCTACCTTTTTTCCTGATACGCTCGAAAGTGCTTCCTAACACCGTCTGGATCCATTTATCGATTTTATCTCCCTTGGGAACATTTGCTCTTTTAAATGTTCAAGGAAACATTTAAATTTCGTGCATCGTTTATGCATTTTTTTAAGCATCGTTCTACCATAATATTACTCGTTATTTTTTTTCTAAAGATCGTTGTATTATCCTTAGATCACGAGGTCGACCGCATCCTTCATTGTTTAAATTCACGGCGTGCCGCTTCAAATTAGTCGTGCATGGAGGAACGATTAACGTTGTATGGGGGGTTAGACCGTGGCGTGGGGCGTAGTTGGTGGCGTAGGGGTTGTGCCCGGTTCCCATGAAGGTCCGTTGGGGGCCATCGTTTGACCATATGGTCGGGACAAGTGTAGCGGCAGATTTAAATAACCGTTGGAGCATGGGTATCCTTTCGAGTTTGCCATTCGCCTGGCTAATATTCGGTCAACGTACATCGATCGGCTAATTATTTTTTCATTATCGTTACTAAGAATAATTGCAAATGTAGGAGTAACGTAATTGGAGCCGTTGGATCGATAAAAGATCTTCGTCGTTAAAAAACACTGACAAAAGTTATACACTGTCACGGCTCCCTGACTTTACCTGCCGTTGCTCCTGTTAGTCGGGGGTGAGAAGAGGCCGCAGGGGGTAAACGTAGTCTCACCTGCGATTGGCTGGACTCCGACCTCGCAGTTACCAATAGGAAACGGTCCCAGGCACCCCGTTCGTGTTTTCAGTCGCGGGACAACGTGTTACCAGCTAACTGGTGCATCATTGTGTCCATTGTCTTCGTCGACTGCAGCATCGTGACCGATTTAACTCGGAAAGAGGAGGTGTTTAAAACTCGCGAGACGAACCATTTTTAACACCTTGTGACTAATATTACAAGTTTATTATAATCGAATAATTGAAAGAGAAAATTATAGAACCGACCATTTATAATTTTATACAAAAGTAAAGGCGAGAGCGTGAAAATCCATCGACGTCGACAGTGAGTTAATATTTTCTAAAGTGTTGGCAGTTTAAAAAATGACACCGGTTCATAGGGAGCTTATGGATAGAAGCGAGTTCTTCGTTGGATAGATAAAACGATAGTGCCGGTATGATTTAATAATTCAGGAACAATCCCGGCGTCCACTTGTCACGCCACTCTCTGCTGGCCCCGCGTACTTCTCGATCACGTAATTCGCCCACACGACGACAGGTCACGTATCATCGTTCACGGGGTTGTAATTTATAGAGCCGCAGCCCGTCAGAAAGTGGAACGGAATTATGACTTCCACCCTGTATCTGGTTTTCGCGGTATCGGTGTCGTTTCATTCGTCTTTTCTTCTTTGTGCTTGCAGCCTCGCAACACAGCGGCACCGTTGACGAGGATAAAGAGGACGAGGAAGAGGGTGAGACCAGGTGCACCGTATGCGACAAGCCGTTCCAAGACATCGAACTGTAAGTATTCCTCGAATCAACAATGTTCTTCGTCCTCGACCCTTTCGGATCTTTATCGTCGTACAGCAAGCTTATTATTGCATTCACACGTTTTATTAGCCGGGAAAATCGCCGTCGATCCGACGACACGAACCTCATGAACGATTCATGACGCATCGTCGTTCGATGTTGAAATCAGATGGTTGCGAATTGCCTCCTAAAGCGACACGTTCGCGTTGAAACGTAATGGAGAAACGTAACGCTTTCATAATCGTTGATCTCGATGCAAAAAGGGAAACTGCAAGCTTCGAAAGTGGCTAGGAAACAATAGACCGGTTGAACAGTGTCGTAATCGGTCGGTTGCTTGATTTCGTGGATAAATTATTCATTAATCGACAAAATACAGGAACGAGCAGCGCTTTATCTGGTTGAAATCGGAGCGTTAGTTGGGCTTCGTAGGAAAAGAGGGGCAACGAGCACGCGAACTATTTCGAGGGTTGCCTGTAGCGGTACGATAGCGTTTTCAGGGGTCGCTGGCGTTCTGTTTGCATCGCCCCATTAAACGAAAAGTCAAATACTTAACCGATGTGACCGCCATATGGAAGTTCGCGTTGTTCGACTTCTGATTTCTTCCCACGATTCGACGGCTACGTGGGAGAGTCGAATCACGTGTCTTGATTGATTTACAGAATCTAATTGGAAGTAAATAAAATGAAATTTGTTTATGGAATGATTGTAATACTATCTGTTCTTTCATCGAGAAATAGCCGATTGCGTAATCAGCAACGGTCCAGTTTCGGACACCCATTTCGTTCCCTTTCCGACATCTATTCCCCGGTCTCGCGACAAGCCGCAACACCAGCCACTTCCGTGTGCCTGTACTCGGCAGAGTCACCTGTTGTGGCGCATAAAGTACGCGCGAGATCCGCATTCGGTTGCATCGAGCCACCCCCTTATGCATCATCGAAGGCGTCGCGTGCCCGCAGCTCATCTGGCACGGCACACCGTCACCGTGAACCTACTATCTCACCACGAATAGCTTTCACGCGACACGTGTGTTCGAGGGTGTAAAATCAATGCCGGCACACACCATGGCACATCCTGTGACCATAACCCGTGGCCAGCTCGCGACAACCCCCGGAGAACCGACCGTTCGTGTGCACCGTCCTCCTCCTCATCGTCGTCGTCGTAGGCCTCTATGTATGCGATGACCACCCTCTTCCTCGCTGGCGTGTGACCGTTATTACGCGAGAGCTGCCGTTCTACCGGAGTCACTTAGTCATCATCCTAGACTGCACCGAGCGCAGTCTTCGTCCGTGTACTGCCCCGGATCGATTATATCTGAGGTTCCTGGGTCTCCAGGTGGTCCGAGATTTCCACGCGATTACGACGGGGCAGTTTCGAAGACTCTTCGTCGAGAGAGGGTTGTAAAAGGTTGTTAGTTCATAACCGATCCTGGTTCTCCAGCGTTGAATGCAGGGACGGGATGGAAATTTTACTTTCCTTAGTGAATCTAGTGCAGTGTTTAAGATTTCATTAACAGTGCTCGTGTTATCCTTTCAGATTGGACAGCCACCTGGTATCCTGTCACAGATATCCTGCGGAGCAACACCGCTGCGATACCTGTCCCCGTGCCTACGCCTGGCGACCTCTTCTAGTTCGTCATCGCGCGATCGTTCACGGTGATCTTCGAAATTATCCCTGTGAAAATTGTCCAAAGGTAAGTATCATCTCTGACCCAAAGTTCACCAAAACCAACACGTTTTCTCTCGAAGCGACATCTTCAAAGTTTCGCTAACAGTCGGACAAACCGCAGGTCTTCACGGATCCGTCGAACCTGCAGCGTCACATCAGGACGCATCACGTGGGCGCGAGGAGTCACGCGTGCACCGAGTGCGGCAAAACGTTCGCCACCAGTTCCGGCCTGAAACAACACACCCATATCCACAGCAGCGTGAAACCGTTCCAGTGCGAGGTCTGCTTGAAGGCGTACACCCAGTTCTCCAATCTATGCCGGCACAAACGAATGCACGCGGACTGTCGCATGCAGATCAAGTGCGCTAAATGCGGACAGTCTTTCAGCACCGTCACCTCGTTGTCGAAGCACAAACGATTCTGTGATTCAACGCCACCGACCGGTCCACCAGGAGCCATGCCGCAATTACCGACCTCGGCACCGAGCCCTTTCCTCGTCTATCGACCTCCCGTCAGTCTACCGGGTAGTCTCCCATACTACCCGTCCAGTCTGATGGGCCCGTACCCAGGAATATTTCCAAACGCTCCGCACTTCTTGAACACCCCACTGTTGTTCCCGCCTAAGGTTGAGGAAGCCGAGAAGAGAAGCGACAGTCCGAAGAAGGAACGTTTCACCCCGCCAAGGGTGCTACCCCAGCACAGCAAAGTTTCTCCATCCACCGCCGAAGAAGCTACTTCGTCGTTCAGACCCTCTCCAGCTAGACCGCCTGTCCAGCCTACTCCAGAGAGCGACGACGATCCCTCGAAGAAGCGAAAAGTTGGCGGAAACAACGAGAAGAAGGTGGACTCTGAGCATAATTCAACAAACGCGAACGAAGAGACGACGGATCAACCTCTGGATCTGAGAGTCCAAACGAAGAAACAAAAAACAACAGCGAATACCGCCGAGAGGAACAACCACAGTCCTTCGCCTGTTCCAGCACCGATGGAGGAAGCTCCACCGCCTCCTGAACCTCCCAAGCCCGAAGAAGAGGTCCACGCACCGATAGACGTCGATACCAAGGACGTACCCAGTAGTCTGCAACTGAGAACCAGTTTACCTGAACAACCGGTCACCAATACTCCGCCGCACATGGCTTACCCCAGACCCATTCATCCCATGTTCCTGGAGGCCATGTACCGCGGTCCAACGGGCAGTTTCCCAGGCTTTCCAGGCGGACCGCCTCCTGGAAGTGGCACGCCAGAGTCCAGGCTATTACCACCGCTCCAACCGTTCGAACCACCCCGTGGGCTTCCTTTTTTAGGGACGTTCATGAACGGGCTCAGCGGCGCTAGGCCAGGAGGCGGAGGATTCGACCTGCTTGCCAGGCCACCGTTGGGACCGTTCCCCGGTGTAAAGCCGTTTCAAGAGGCCGTAATCGCGCCCCATCACCATCACCATCCTCATCACGCTCACGGCAAGATGAAGGACCGATACTCCTGTAAGTTTTGTGGCAAGGTATTCCCCAGATCAGCCAATCTGACTAGACACCTGCGGACACATACCGGCGAGCAACCCTACAAGTGCAAGTACTGCGAGAGATCCTTCAGCATCTCCAGCAATCTCCAGAGACACGTTAGGAACATCCACGACAAACAGAGACCATTCAAGTGTCCCTTATGTGAGAGATGTTTCGGGCAACAGACCAATTTGGATAGACACTTAAAGAAACACGAAGCTGACGACGGCAGTGGAGTCGTCTCTGTGGCTGATTCACCAGGTAGTAGCAACGAGAACGAACGCGAGGACACGTATTTCGACGAAATCAGGTCGTTCATGGGCAAGGTAACGTACGGTGGTGAAGCAGGTTACGGGCTACCCCCTCACCCTGCTTACCTACCCAGCAGACTACACGAAATGCACGAGTCCAAGATGGAAACCGAGTACGACGAGGACGAAGACAGCGAGGAAGGAGTGTCCCCTTTAGACGAAACCGATGGATTGTCCCCCGTCGAGGCCAAGGAATCCACCCCACCCCCGCAGTACGATCTGAAGCTGAGGGAGAAGCAAGAAATGCTCAATAACAACACCGCCGAACCGGTCATCGAAATTTCTACATAGCCCATAGGTCGCGTAGGTTAAACGAGGAGAAAAATCGTCCTTTTGGAACGGACTGATCCTCTTTTAGTGACACATAGAACTGTTACGAGGATGTTTGTCTCGATGTAATTTTTTAACCGTAGATAGATTCCGTCGATCGTGTTTACTCGTAGTGAAAGAAGTGTTGGTTCGAGGATTGTGTTACGGGATTACTTAATACATCGACCTCTTGTTTTTTTCACGTCTCTGTTATTTTCGCACCCCAACAGTGAGAGCGTAAAAGAGATCGAACGAAACACCACTGTCTTTTTTTCACACGCAAACACACACACACACACACACACACACCGGTTACGAGCAAATTGTTCAATAGCGTAGTTCCTACAGACTCGTTCTCATTGTACACGCGCACGTAAATTAATAATCGTTCGAATCCTGACCCCTCCCTTTCTCATCGTCCACCGTAGCATTATTTATTCGTCTCGCCGTGTTTCTTTGCATCGCGTGAAAACCGCCTCGGCCAGAAGAGGCTGACGTCTTTGTCGAGTTTCTAAAACTCGGTTCAACCCTTAACGGTGTTCGTGCAAGGACGATCTGATCGTGAAACGATGGAAAAGGAGGATTGGAACTTTTGCTGGAAGAAAGTCGGATTCACCGCTGTTTTCTTTCTTAGAAAGTAAATCGAACGTTGTAATCTTCGAGGATGAAATGATGGAAAATGGGCTGCTGAAGTCTGTACTCGAATAGATAGCATGAAAAATTGGTTTAGTCGATGCGAAGCCAAAGCGACGAGGATAACGATTAGCGAAGCGAGCGTGTAATTAACAGAGAAACGTTTTATGAGAATCTGTGTACAAATTTCCATTAGGTGATATAACGTTTGTAAAAAAAAGAGAAACAAAAGAATACGAAAGTTCTTCGTGATTTTTAATATATATATATACATAGACATATATTATACATACATATTATATATAAATATATATATGCGATCTTATGAATTGACCGTGACACGAGTCACGATAGATTCTTTATCAAAGACGCATAATTGTTACGTTTATTTCACTCGATAGTTAATAAAGTCGTGCGTTTCCATCCGGCTCTCGATGTTTGAAGAGAAATGCTCTCGTGAATGTTAAATGAAGCAAGTTTGCAAATACTTTTTGCGAAAAGAAGAAAGAATAACGTTTCCTTCTTGTTTCTTTTTTTTCTTTCGATTGTTCTTACCTACGATTGTGGACAACATCTGTTTTCTTCATGTAAGATTTTACGGATACGTGTTCTAACATATCTCTCTTATCTTCATCCTCTCTGACTAATAGACGATAATAAACTTACGGATTGATTAAGCATACTTACGTCGATCGAGATAATTAAGGACGATTATATTATGACTCTATCTATACATACTGTATAAAATGCATCCTGTAACTTCATTATGATTACCATTAAAATATTACACTTCAACTTTGATGAATGTGACGCATTCATTCCCTTTTTTTGTGTTTTGAATCATTACTGATTCATTTAACTATTAAAACAATTTAATAAACTAAAATCGTTATGCTCGTCTTATTTTTGTTATTTTATATTTATATTATCGCGCGCTTCAAAAGCCACATTAGTGGCGCTACCTATCGGAGGGGTGGAGAAATTAACTAAACAAAAATCAGACCATATCTTAAAAAATATAAATGAATTTTGAGTTTAAAACAAAACAAGGGTGGCAAAAAAAAATGTAATATACACTTCTGTTCTTTGGCATTTATTATGTGAACTTTTCGCTTAGTATAAAGTTTTGAAGTACATAATTTTATATTTCTACCAATGGCGGTGATTGACCGTCCCATTTCGACCAATCAGAGTCGTCCTTTTCGGCAATGTGCGTAGTTATAATTTATTACGTCACTTCCCTTCGGAGCTTCGTCCTGAGTGCACGTGTTTGCGACAAGTGCGATTAAATTGTATTAAAATATTATAATAAACTGCATTTCTGATATAAAAAGTACGAAAAACAGAAGGAAGAGTTGGAGAGAAGTCTAGATACATCATTCCTGACATCAATTCCACAATGTCTTCAGAAATAGGTGAGGTGAAATTTTGTACGCTTGACGCCAATTGATATTGAGGTTGGAACAGCATTATCTTAACTTTTTGGTATATTTTTCCATAATTTATTGGGGTAAATAGACATATAATGCCCTAAATATTCACAAGCAAATTCAATCGCATTCTTTCTTGAGAACCGTAACATTCTGACAATGAGATTTGTTCGGGTAGACGCTTCGGTAGACTGCGCATGCGCAGTAATCCTGGACGCCGGCGCAGGGAAGGTTCCGCCATTTCGTTTCCGAACGTCAAAGTGATAACACGTGTTCACAGCATCGTCCCGTATAAGTAGTATACAGGTACGCGTGGTTAACCTATTGAAATATTTTAGTTCCATCCTTTATTATCAATCATTTTATTGTTGTTGATTAAGTTTTATTAACAGAAATTTGTATTTCTTGTTTGTTACAGATATCTTGTTGAGATTGAAAAGACGCCATACGATACGACGCCATCACACTTTATATTGGTTTCAAATAGAATTTCGTCAGGAATTGGTATCATTTCCAGTTATTCTATTACATTATTAACATTTATTATTACTTTTATTTTATTGAGTCATTGTTAATTGTAAACATTTTTGGTAATTAATTGGTATCAAGGTCAAGGAACAAAAGATTAGAGAAATTTTCTTTTGATCAATTAATAGAAAAAGAATAATTAATTTTTGATTTTATTAAATAATTTCAACTAATAATTTAATACATGTGTTTTAAATGATTGCTTTTCTTCAACAATTATTTAAAACATTTCGTTTCAATCTAGGATCAATATTCAGCTTTAACAATATTTGTGCTCGTCGAATATATTTGACGAACATAGATATTTTCATTTACAAGCCATTAATAACAGTATTTCCGTTACGAAAGCTCAAAGACAAGAATGTTGTTTTGTATATTTCCACCCAGCCCATCCCTGCTCACCAAGTTTTTCTTTCAGGAATTGTTGTGGCCGCGCGCAATGCGGTCGGTAGAGTCAGTGTTTGTACGAGCATACTTCCAATGTTTTGATTTTTGCAAGGGCGAACTGGCCCTGAATAGTGTTGCGTTTGTATGATTAGGAATCACGCGAAAGTAGAGTCAGTGTTTGCTACGTATTATAAAATATTCTCTAGAGCATCGCGGCTCTGATTTTTCTTTTTCCATCGCGAAAGTAGATTCTACAATTGTTCGCCGGAAATTATTTACGGTCGCGTTAATAGTACTTTATATCTTTATTTTTAATTTTCTTTTTTATTGCTCGATATATCCGGTGTTAGAGTCACGGCACCACTGAAGAGGAGTCTTGGGCGTTGCTCCATAAGGAAAGAGTGTAAGTATCTTATTACTTTATTTTATTAATTTTACAATTTCAACACTTGATAATTGAGAGTTATTTTTCATTGCTAATATTTGATAAAATCCAAATTTATATATAATTTTATTACAATAAGAATTGATAATTTTCAAAATTAATCGTAATTCCTCTTTTTTTGTTACAGATGAATTTTTGAACTTTGGCGAGTTCCTGGACATTCCTGATGGCTTCCGTCTTCTGTAAGGCAACCTCCTACCTGATGTGCATCCTCCTACCTAGTTGTTGAGCATCCTTCTACTTGATTATTGGAAGAAGAGTATATCTGCGAACGGTGAGTCGCATGTTTTATAGTTCCTCCGGTGCCCAATCATGTCGTAGGACGAATGGTCCCAATCGACACGGGTTACCGGTTGTATACGTGCTTGGCAAGCATAGTGACCATGGGTATGATTATACATACCCATGAGTAGTAACATTTTTATTGTTTCATTTCATTTACTTCAGGATAGGTCTTCTTGTACACCGCGTTTTAAATATCATTTCAATTCCACATATTCCAATAGATATTTATGAAATATATGAATGCTCTTAACTGTTCTTAAATGTGGAATATGAAATATTTTAATACAGAAACAATTTTATTTAGTTTTTATTCAAATCGATATAATATTGGTAATATAATATGTATACTGAATATACATATTAATTATGATTTTACATTGATTTCATTACATTTTGTACATTGTAAATTCAAATATAATTTGAGACCTTTTTACGAGGAGTAAAGTTCAATTCATTTCATGTAAAATTGAACAATTTATGTGCAAGAAGACAATTCGTGACGGGTAGATTTCCAAGTCAGAGTGATCTATTTCAACAGATTTTGCATATTCTTGAAAAGTTACTCTGAGGAGGGAGTCGCCCGAGGATGTTTTAATTTTTTATTAATTTTCATAATAAATTCTTTTTTCATTGTAAAGAATTCTTAATTAGTCATTTTGCTTTTAATAAAATATCAAATTCAATTTTGACATTAAATTCCTTTTTATTAGAGTTTTGCCTTTATTAAATTAGTGTTGCGAGAAATTTCCGACGCGAGAGTAAATATGACGATGCACTGACTAGTATTCGGTGGGAATCCTTTTGGTTTTTAAACTCAATCCTTTTTATTATTTAATTAATCAAATTAGTTACAAGGATTCCGCGGCATAAGACCGTGAACACCATCTCTGGGAGATATACCCATGCATTACTAGGCCTTTGCAGGCGCAGTTTTAGAATACGGAACATATGAAAATATGTTACCATATTCTAAACTGCAGTCCTTTTGTCTATACTATGGGCGTCCGTCAATCTGACACCGTTGGATGCAACGTGTTGGACGGGCGGGTAGCGCTCTTAGCGAAGGGGTGCACTCTGTCCTGGCGTTACGACGTCCAGGCGGGGTGGGTGGTATGTAGCGTCTGGCGTAAGTCTAGGGGGCGTGAGACCCTTCGTTGCCAGCTGATATTAGCAGTGCACCATGTTTGCGTCATAGTTGCTCAATTCTACTTTTCAGTATTTGTTCTTAAAGCTTTATATTTACAAAGTCGAGTCACTTTTATTAAAATAGTGAAATATTAGTCCGTTCGATGTTTGTGTATTAATCATGTTTCTAGATCAGGATTTTCAGGTTTAACCCCTTCCGTGTTTATTGCCAAAGCCCATTCACGTGCCCAGGTGCTACTTGGATGGGTAGAGGCAATGGGCACGATGACCTAGTTCATAAGAATAATAATTAATAAGCGGCTGGCATTGTGTTAGTATATCGTGCACGACGTAATTTCCACATATGGTGTGTGTGTTTTTAGGCTGTGGGATTGCGTCGGTTTAATAACTTTATCATTTAACTTTTAATTTGAAATAATATTTTATTCAAGAAGATGTACAATGAACGTACAAACCAAATAGTATTATTACCATTACTATTACTATATTGCCATTACTATTACCATGATTATGATCATTATTATGAAATATTCTATATCAAAGTAGTTAATTAAATTTTGTAATTATCATTATACGCAATGATTGCTAGCCTTGCCAGACGATTTCAGTGAAAAATGGTACGTACCGTAGAGTGTGATGTGAGATGAAACTCGGGTGACGGAGGCGTCCCGGGACGTTCTCCCTAGTTTAGGCTCTTGCGCCCGGGTGGAGTGTATGGGGGTCGTGGAATGAATTTTTGTGAGAATGTGATCTTGCCTTTTTTAAATATAGGGTTAGGTAGGTAGGTAGTATACCTTCTGGTGTGTGTGATAGATCGTAAGTAGGTAGGGCCGGGACAGGTTGTCACAGTATCTTGGTCGGGTAGGCGCGATTTCGCGTGATTAACCTGTACCTGGAATATATTTGAAGAATTGACGATACGATTGATACGAATGGAGTATGCCGTTCGCCTTCGATCTATCTGTACAATTTTTCAAATTTTTGGCGACTTCATAAGTCGTCATACGCGATCGCGATGGCACGAAACGCACAAGTTCTGCTCGAGCACGGCACGTGTGCACGAACAACGACTTATCTAAAGTCCTTTTTCGTCCACGTGTCAATTAGAGTTTCGCGATTTTTCATTTTTGTTGATTGTTTTTTTTTTTGTTTTGCGAATTTGCAAGTCTCGAGCTTTAGATATAAGTTTCAGGTGGGTGGACCGCCCGAAGAAAGAAAAGGCTATATGCCGAAGCGCCCCGACAAACTGTCTTTCAAGAGGGGAACTACTAATGATTTTGCATCCTTTTGCAAAAAAGGATGGGAAATCATTATCGTTACTACTTTGTCACTGTGCTTGCCTGTAGTTGTAGTTTTGTAATTTCAGGACAAGAGGGGGCCCGTGACCCCCATGATTTTGGGCAAATCGCGTTTTCAATTTAGTGTTGCGAATATTGACCACGGTTCAATTTAGTGTTGCGAATGAATATCGATCACGGTTCAATTTAATGTTGCGTATGCATGATTATCGCGATTTTCATTTAATGTTGCGAACTTTAAATATCAGGTTTCTTTCTTGCATTGCTTTAAAATAGAATT